GTGAGGTGGACTGGGCAGGCAGGTAGACTGCATAAGCCATAGTCGGTTCTGGCCCAGACACCCATTTCTGCCGGGCAGTCTTGCACTAACCAGAAGCAGGCTGAATTTACCAGCACCTAGTTTTCTTGGTTCATACCACTTAAGAGTTGCATCTTCTCATCTATGGCATGTGCACCTCCCTCAGATTAGGATGGGTTTGTATGACCCGCCCAGTCCTAGAGAGCCTGGGACAGCTGCTCTCTCCTGACCACAGAGCACATGAAGTTGGACTCAGGATGGGCAGGAAATGGAAAGTTACCAGATCGGCCCCAGCAGTTTTCCATTACACATTTTCATTTTCTTAGTCCTGTTTGACTCATTTTGAGGTTGCCTGTTCATGTTTGAATGATTCTTATAAGTTATGAGTGATATCTCAGAACATTTGGTAATACTTCGTAAACTTACACAAAGTATCTAACATCCATTATCTGCCCAGATAAACCCAGAGGTGGATAAAAGAGAGAGCTACAAACACACTGTCTTAACGGCTGTTTGAAGTCAAGTTTGATTGCCTGAGCTCCAGAGTAGGGAATTAGAGGACATAGGACCCAGATTTCAACTCCCAGTTCATCTCTTTCCCTCTCTCCTGCTGTAGATAAAAATGTTCTTTCTTACACATAGCATTGAGATGAAGTTTCTTTCTCTGGAATTTCCCCTTGCTAGTGATGGTTCTTCTCTTTAGGGCCATAGAAAATCTTCATTCCTCTTCTCGATACGGTCTGGAACGCTTAAAGTTAGTGCTGTGTTCTCCACGTCCTCTTTCCACATTAAATACCTCCAGTTCTCATCAGGCTCCATATGTCCCTTAGCCAGAGATCAGTGAGACTTTGCCACCTGTGGGTCTGAGCAGCTTCCTCCAAGTCAGCATGAGTTGGAAGAATTAGCAGTATTGCCCTTCAGCCTATGACGGTGGGAGGGGGGCCTGTACTCACCCAGTAGCTGGAGAACATGGAAAGGCCAGGCGGGAGGCTCAGATCTCCCCATGTCTAGAATGCCATCCTTCAGCTTCACCTGATTTCAGTCTCAGCCTGAAATGGCCACAGTGAATCAAAGAAGTAAATGCCATAAAACATACTTATAATAATGGCTAGAAGACCTATAGTGCAGGACTTTTCTCATCAGGAATCCTCCCCACTCCCACAGAGAATGGAAATTGACTCTTGTTGGTTTCCCAGAGGGAGAAGGCTATTTGTGAGAAAAAGTGAGTGTTTTTCTCTCATTCAGTCATTTATTTAGCAAGCATTTTTTTTGCAGCGGTTCTCCACCTGTGGGTCGCAACCCCTTTTTAACAATGAAAATACATTGCAGCGTTAGGAAAGTTGAGAACCACTGATTTATTGGGTGTTTGCTGTGTGCTAGGTGCAAGAGGCAAAGAAATGAGAGAGAGCTTCAAGGAGCTCAGCATCTGGGGAGGCAGGCAGTAAAAAGCATAATTTAGTGTCTGGGGCTCAGACTCCTATTCAGTCCTCTTTCTGCACTATGTCCATCCTTGGTGCCCAGCCCTGCAGTCCTCTCCTGAAAGGAAACTTCTAGTTGTCTTCAGAGTGGGAGGGGGTGGCCCCCAGGATCTAAGGGTCCAACTGCTCCAGTGTTCAGCTAAAGCACCTGTTTGGAGCCCCAGACTGTGGCCTTGCCTCCCGGAGCGGTGCCTGGGACTTTGAGAGGCTTCGTCTTTGCACTTGAGCATGGTTCTTGAGCCCCTGCCCTGCTCTCCCTGCCCTGCACCTTGAGTTTTCTGCCTTCTGTTTTGCCAAGTCAGTTTTCTAGCTTCTAAAATTGTGCTGACCTCTTTTTCTCCCTTCTGCTTTGTCGTCATTGTTCTTTTTGCTCTTGTGGGTTCATACTTTAAAAAAAAAAAAAAATCCTCCAAATTGTTATTTTAGCAATTTTAGGATGTATTCTCCTCTGGGTTTAACTGGAAGTTTTTCAGGCTTTTTCATTAGCTTATACTCCTGCTAAGCCACAGCTTTTCCACTGTGTTTATGTTCTTGCTTGGTTTTTTAATTTTCATTTTTGAATCAATTACATTTCCATAATTTAAAAAGTTTTTTTAAGTGCTTAAAAAGTAGATGTTGAAAACTCTTGCTTCGCCATATACCCTTCTTCCTCTTCTTCCTCCCATTCCCAAAAGATCACAACATTGACTACTTTCTTATGTGTTCGTAAAGTGTTTCTTTGTGCAGATAAAGCACATGTGAGTAAGTATATTTTATTTCCCCCTTTTTAATGTAAAAGCTAATGGTCCCAGACTGTCCCGTTAGTCTCTAGCTGTGTGACTGTGTTGTTATTCTTCACAGCAGTCCACCCTCCCCCGTGTGGGTAGACCGAGCTCTAGCCTTCCCGCCACTGATGAACATTGGGTTTTTTCCAGTCTTCAGTATGACAAATAGTCTGCAGCAAAAACTTTTTAGTGCACATAATTTGTATATGTGCAGTCATGTTGTAAAGATAAATTCCCTGAAGTGGAGTGGGTGGTGTTTTGAGGGCTTAGTGGTTTGAGCCCGAGTATAGGAACCTGGATTTTGTGGTGTTTGTCTACGACCATCATCTGCCTGGTGACTCAGTCCCAAGCTGTTTGCCACCAGTCCCATCTGGTGTTGGGTATGTCTGGGTAGAAAGTGAGTTGCCCTCTCTCTACCACTTTCCATTTCTTGGGAACAGGGAGGCTGTGGCTGCCAGTGGGGCAAATCAAAAGTGCCAGAATGGGCACTTGGGGAAGGCCAAGATGACGTCAAAACCCAAGCTTCTGTGGGGACTGGGAGATTGGGGAGTGTGGGGTGGCTGATTCCATTGTGTTGGCCACATTGCTGTCTCTGATGAATTCTCCAGCCCTGGCTGCTGGAACTTTAATTTTCTTCTCCTTTAGGCTCTCAGAGGCAGGAAACAATGGTTGTCTTTTCACATTTGTCATCTTCAAGGGTTTCTTCAAAGAGGCAATTAAGGTGCTCTGGCAAAAGTACTTGTGGTAGGAAAGCACCAGGGAGTTTGTGTCTCTGCAGTATTGTCCTGAACTCGGGAGCAAGGGAGGGCACCTGCAAGCCTCCCCTTTTCTCAACAGCTGGTGACATAGATATCAGCTCCAGTCACACTGTGGAAAACAGACCCCGAGAGGTCAGGCAGTGGCCCAAGGTTTTGCAGCTGATGACTGACAGAGTTGATTTGGCCTCTGAGAGAACTGGATGAGTTGGTTTTTGGCCTCTGGGAAGGCTCAGTGACGGCTCAGTGACAAAGGGTGTGCTGTCCTAGTTAGGATAGTCTGGTCAGTAAATGCCTCTGCACCCCCACATAGTAGCTCCTTCTTGCCTGGGCCAGATCTGGTCCTCCTCAGACACCTGGCCTCTCCCTGGCCTCTGACCCCTCCCTGCTATTATCCCCATCCCTCCTTCACTGCCCTCTGGGCGGTTGTGAACACAACCTCGAGCTTTTCCAAAGGTCACTTTTCCTTGTTGCTATTTATTCTTGCCAGTCTGCTCAAAGTTTGAAGCAGCTTGAGAAAGCTAACAAGCCCCCAAATTCCTGGGAGCAAGTGAGATTTCTTGAGCTACCTAGAGAGCTATAGCTAAAAGATACTATTTGTAAGAGGATATTAGCTAAGTGCTTCTCTGGGGCTTTGTGGGGAAGGTAGACATGAGCAGGGCAGTGCCACTTACCCCACAACAGCTCCCCAGGAGCAATTTCTGACTTATTAAAGGCCATACCCTTGGAGTGGGCTGTATGGAGCCAGTGGGGGCTTTGTGTCGGGGGCTGGATCTTGGAAGGGCTGCTCGGGCCCGGGGCCTGCTCTGAGCTTTGCCTGTTTTTGGTCTTCCAGTCCACAGCCGCCACAGCCCCAGGTCCCTGAGACTCCCTGGGCAGATGAGGGCGGCTCCGTTTATCACCTGACCGATGAAGACTTTGACCAGTTTGTGAAGGAACACTCCTCTGTCCTCGTCATGTTCCACGCCCCATGTGAGTGGAACTTTACTCTTCCGCCTCCCCCTGCCCACTCTCAGAGTAGGACGTGTGCACTTACTTGTTAGGTGCCAGGAGCCCTGCTAAGCCAGGGGATGCAATGAGGACAGGTCAGGTCCCTGTTCTTATGGTGCACATGGCCCACCCAGTGTCACTATGGGGACAGTCCTCATCAGGCTCCATATGTCCCTTGGCCAGAGATCAGTGAGACTTTGCCACTGGTGGGTCTGAGCATGAGTTGGAAGTCACCTCCAAGTCAGCATGAGTTGGAAGAATTAGCAGTATTGCCCTTCATCATATGATGGTGGGGTGGGGGGCCTATACTCACCCAGTAGCTGGAGAGCATGGAAAGGCCAGGCGGGAGGCTCAGATCTCCCCATGTCTAGAATGCCATCCTTCAGCTTCACCTGATTTCAGTCTCAGCCTGAGATGACCACAGTGAATCAAAGAAGTAAATGCCATAAAACGTATTTATAATCATGGCTTAGAACACCTATAGTGCAGGACATTTCTCAGCCGGAATCCTCCCCACTCCCGTGGAGAATGGAAATTGACTCTTGTTGGTTTCCCAGAGGGAGAAGTCTATATGTGAGAAGAAGCAAGGGCCTCCTGAAAACTAGGGGACAACAGTCCCTGGGGCACAGAGCTAGTGGCTTTGGCCCTGGGAGGGACTCCAGCTACCTGATGGGCCATCCCAGCACAGCCTGGGGCAGCTGTACGTGTGTGGGATGCTCTTCTTTGTAGCCTCCTTCCAGTTCTTTGGCCCACTGATGGTAGGGAAGAGACTGTGGAGGAGATTAAAAAAGCAAGAAATAAGTGCTTCATGGATCAGTCCCATAATTGCAATGTTACAGTGCATCAGGACAGTCCATAGAGGGTTGTCCAACAGTTGTGTCACCCTATGGTGATGACAAAAGTGGCTTCCTGAAGGGTCACCTTTCGTTTTACCCACAGTGCCACAAAGCAAAAATGAATAGCCCCATTTTACAGATGAGGAGACTCGCACAGAGAACTGACACAGACTGTCCATGCTCTATGAATCTTGTGCTGCTTCAGACTTCAAGAGCCTCATGGTGCAGAAGGAGTGGGTCAAGGCCTGACCTCTGTTCTCCTGCCTATTTCCCCTTCCCCGATGACATCCGTGGCTTTGCTTAGTCTGGGGATTATTCCTTAGTGTACAATCACTTCAGATTTCCCTAACTCTTTCTTTCTTACAAGTGCTAACTCTTAAGCAGATCAAAAAGAAAAGTATTTCCTATGCCGTTCTTCTTCTACAAAAGAGACAAAAAAGCCCTAAAAACTAAGTCTCAAAGACTTTCCAGTCTTATGTGATGCTCTGATTTAGGACAATGACATATAGGGCCTTAGGAATGCATCACCCCCAGGTCTCCTAGGGCCTTGATGAGGGTGTCCCCCAAATTAGAGGTACCCAAGAAACTGCCTACTGTTAGTCTAGCTGGGCATCACTGCAATGGTCTCCCTAGCTGAAACATGCTCACCTGGCCAGTTGCTGATGGAAGCAAGTCTTGCAGGAAGTTGTTATATTGAATCTAGAGCTGAAGTAACCCTACTGGTTTCCCTGAAGGAAAACAGATAGTGGCTGGCTGTTTTTACTTCCCCTTGGGAAGCTCCAGTGTCTTCACCCCCATGTGTCTGTGCTTCCCATCTAATCAGGAGAGCCCACCAGTTCCCTGGTGACTCAAGGCTCTGTGTGTGTGGGTTTATTTCTGTTGGGCTGGTAGAGTGAGAGAGATTAGGGCAAAAGTGTGCAGTTAACTTCCTGGATGAGTTGCCTGTTAACGCTCCTGTCAGATGGCAGTGGCTCTGCATTAAATAATTTCCTCTTCACACACCTCTTCTTCCAGGAGCCTCATCTTTAGCCTGGGAAAGAACAGAATGCACGTGGTTTAAAGGGAATTTAGAGGTCAGGAGAGCTGAGCAGAGAGCTCCTAGCTGCCTGGCTTTGCACCTCAGGTCAGAGTGCTGCAGAAAGCCCCCGGTGATCTGGAAACTGCTCTTGTAGTGTTTGAGAGAAACCCGGAGAAAAGAAAGGATAATTGTCAGGATGCCAGGGACTAGCAGTTCTGTCCCAGGTTCCCAAGTGCAGAACAGGTGACTTCTGGAAATCACAGTATTACAGGTGTCAATCCCAGGCCAAACAAGGAGTAGTTTGGAAACACATTTTGGAGACATAGAAAAACAAGTTGGGTCTCTCAACGTAGTGTACCATAGAGTCTATTCAGGATTGCTGGATGTGCATGGTTTGTTTCTTAGAAGAGGATTACTTGCTTGATGAATTAGCATGTCTTTTGTTTTATCAAGACATTTGACAAAGTGAGTTGCTGTTTTCCTGACTGTGACGGGGAGAGACAGATGGATGAAGCCACACCGGGGGGGAAGCATCCTTCCCCTCAGTGCATTGTGACTGTGAATCTGGCCTGTGCCTGTCTAGAGGGCATGTACGTGTTTTTAATTAGCAACTTTGTTGCAGCTATTAAAAAAAAAAAAAAAGGCATACTTACACATTTGTGAGGGTTAGAGTTGGAAAAAGAATAGCCAATTAAAATATCAAACAATTGCCTAGAGATTTTAAAGCATCCCAGTAGACCGAAATAGTGGGGTCCAAATTGAAAGGCTGAATTTATTTTTATGAGTCTATTAATTATGAAAGTAATGCATGTGCATTTTGTAAAGGGAAGATGTTTTTAGAAGAAAGCCAAAACGATTCCCGATCCTGACTCCCAGGGAGAGCCGTGTTCTTTCCTTGCAGTGTTATTCCTGTGTGTGTGTTGTACCCGAGTGCTCAGTCGATGGCAGTTTCTTTCCTGGGCCTGTATTGAAAGGCCAAAAGATGACAAAGGGTCATTAGCTTCCCTCTTGACCTGCACGTGGCCCAGGTGGGTACTCCCTGCCACCTGTAGGTTCCAGAGGCAAGTCATTTGATTCTCTGCCTGAAACTCTCGTGGACCACCTGTGGAACCACACTCCTGGGCTCCTGGCAGGAAGCACACAGGTGCCTCCCCCAGTGGTGGTGCATTACCCACCAGCAGGAGGTGGACTGCCTGCAACCCTCCACAGACCCCTGCTCTTGCCCTCTCACCCAGCATTTTTGCTGCCCTCTTCCTACCTCAGCCTCTCACCACCTCATTGTCTTCCTCCCCTCTGTCTCCCAGTGGGAGTCATTAGGAGCCTAGCTACAGATTCTTTAGTGGCTTCCACATCTGGTGCCTGAGTCACCACTGAATGAATAAGCATAGGCCACCTGCCGTTCTAGGCCCTCTGCCTAGGTCAGCTCCAGCCTTTTCCCAGGCCTCTGAGACTTACCACCCTGTCTGCCCTAAGGCCTTGTCTCCCAGGAGCTGGGCTAGGCCTCCTGGGGAGGACACGCTGAGCAAAGGGTGCCGAGAGGGATATGCAGCGCCGTGCGTGGCAGAGCCTGGGCCTGCAGCCCAGAGCAGCAGCCCCTCCATTGCTTCGTGCTTCCCTTTGTCAGCAGGCTTTGTGCCCGTCCTCCCTCTGGCCCTTGATTTGGGGCCTCGTGTGCAGCACTGGGCCCAGTGTTCACATCCTGCAGAGGACAAAGACAGTGTCCACAAAGACCATGTCAGCAGGACACTGGCTGCTGCTGCCCCCCATTGCCTTTCCTCTGAGAAAATCAGGTTGTCTGTTGTCTTCTCTCATCTTGTTTGGCTTTTATCCCTCTCCATGAAATCAGGCCTGTGTTAGGCAGGGAAGGGACACAGAGCCATGTGCAGGGGATCCCACGGAGAGGTGTCCCTGAGGAAGCAGCGCACCCCTGTCCTTTTCTCCAGTCCTGCTGGGGGTTTGAGGATCCTTGCCCTATTACCCCCTTTCCTTGGCAGCAGGCCCAAGACAACATTTGCTCTGCCGCGGCTCCTCACCAGCAGGTGTGTGCTGGCAGCTCGGCACCCAGCCTTGCAGGAGCCGGGCTGTCGCTGGCAGCAGGTCCCTGTCAGACTCCAGATTTTCTGCCATCCTCTTTTTGTTTTTTTTTAAGCTTTTAACTTTATTTTTGTCTTACTCTCAAAATGATATATGAGCTTTGTAGAAAATCTAAAAGGTATGGAGAAAAATAAATGATCTTGGAAAAAAATTACCTAAAATCCCATTATCCAGAGGTACCCTCTGTTCGCTTTGTGGCATCATTCCTACTAGTCTTTCTTTTTTTTTTTAACTTTTTTTTTTTTTCAGAGACAGAGTCTCACTTTGTTGCTCTCAATAGAGTGCCATAGTGTCACAGCTCACAGCAGCCTCCAGCTCTTGGGCTTAGGTGATTCTCTTGCCTCGGCCTCCCAAGTAGCTGGGACTACAGGTGCCTGCCACAATGCCTGGCTATTTTTTTGTTGCAATTTGGCCGGGGCAGGGTTCAAACCCACCACCCTCGGTATATGGGGCCTGCACCCTACTCACTGAGCAACAGGTGCCGCCCTTAACTTTTATTTTTAAACTAACATAAAGTCTAATGGACCCTTTTTCCATCCCATGTATAGATTTGTGTGACTGTCATGCCCAAAATCACATTCATGCCATCACTTTTATTTTGTAATTGCATAAATAATTTAAGAATAACATTAACAGCATTCTTCCTATTAGCCATGCAACATTCTAGGCATAGATAAGAATATGGTGCAAAGAGTAAAAATCCCCTGCTCCCTATCCCTCCCTCCTCCCAGGGCTGATCACTGCTAAAGTTGGCGTATCCTCCTTTCTTCTCCCATGCTTCTCCTAAATAACAGGATTTTTTATTATTATTATTTTGCAGTTTGGGGCCGGGGCTGGGTTTGAACCTGCCACTTCCGGTATATGGGGCCGGCACCCTATTCCTCTGAGCCACAGGCACCACCCAGGATTTTTTATTTTTTATGTTTAAAAAAAAAATAGATAAGATCATTCCCTGCCCATTTTTCCTGTGATTTCTTTTTAATTTACCAATAGATCTTAAAAATGTTTTGATGTAAATGTATAACATCAGCAAA